CCTTAGATTTTTCAAGATCTCCTTTTCAAATAAAACCTTCGCGTTCTCCCTTCGCCACCTCTGCACCATTGTGTACCAAAACTTCCATAATCTCAATTGAACTAGACATCTCAGAACTACCGTAAACTGGACCATAAGTTTGGAACGAGAATGTGAAAGAGCATTGTTTGTATAGCGTGACCGTTCATAGTCATTAACTTCTACGAGGGACTTCCACACTTTGAAACAGACCAGCACAGTTGCCTGGATTAGCTTCATTGAACCCACCTGACTCACGGGAAACCCTTAGCGATTTTTTTTAGCTCTGATTCCTGAAACTTACCTATCAACTTACGTTAGATGATATTGGACATTTTTAGGTAACTGTGATTTTGGATATTTATTATATAAATGTTTTTGAACTTACAGTCAGAGGTGTGTAGTCGATTGACTACAGCGAACGAAGTTTTGAAATTTCTGTCAAGAATGTAGTTCAATTCAATGTCGTCATCGTCCAAGCCAAATGGACGCATAAGGTCCTGTCCCACCTGAAGATTATTTTGCCATCAAACACTGCTCATTCAAGACTGAATAGCCAAGAGCTCACCTTGAACCATCCCACGAGGAACATGAACTGGATGACTGCAAACAGCGGTATGATAGAGTCGATCTGCCGTCCTGCCTCAACCTCAGAATGTAGCACTTGACGACCAAACAGTGTGAAGAAGAAGAATGAATAGGTCGCCAACGCAGTCACCTTAACTTCTACGTTAGATGCTTAGCGGAAACGTCGATAGGGAATTTTCGTGTGCTCACTTAGAAATAAATCAATAATTGATCGGAGATTAGCCGAAATAAAGAAATTCATTCCATTCGGTTGATAGCGCCTTCTACGAACAAAATCACTTCTTTCCAACATAAATCAGAGCAGGTCTCCCGATCATTCGCTATTTTCAGTTTTTGAGATATGGCACTTTCTCTATCCATGAAGTCTCCAAAAACCACCATTTCAAATATCCATATGCGTCCCTCTTCTCTATTTTCTCTTGCCTTATTTTCCGCTCATTGATCTTAGCGGATGACCATAATCTGACTCTGATTCTCCTTTTTTGGCGACATGCCAAGTGCCCCGATGTTACAATCTTAGATTTTGCTATAATGTTATATTAGCGATAACAGAGGGATAAGATCTTTAGCGTTGATCAATCCTGTCTTCGGTTGCACCCCGCGATCAACTCCGATTCAGAATTGTAGTGTTGAATTGAATGCATACGCTAATGACTTAGGTGGTCAGCCAATGTAGAAGTCGTTGTTGTCATCCTCTCAAACGAGTCTGGACTAACTGACCGACCGAACCTGGAGGGATGAAGGCTTGGATGACCTTGGCGAATAAAGATCCGGGATTCAATCCCTGGACCGTGTGTGTGATCGTGATAGTCACATGCCACCACGTCACTCCCGCCCATAATAGTGATAGTAATATTGATAATTGTAATAGTTTCTAAAGGACTGATGTTTTTGTTTGATAAGCCGGTTCCTATTAGAACCCCTATTAGAACCCATATGGTTTTGTCGCTTGATGGGATAAGTCACCGATCAGAAGCTCCGAATTACCGTCAACCCAGTGAAAGGGGTCCTATCATAACAAACCTGCACGGCAAAGCAGTGTGAAATACTATGCTCATTACTACTATAATTATTATTGAAACTTCTATAAGCTTTATTAATAGTAATAATAATAATTTTCGTTATAAAAATTGATTTCAGCCATTCCATCATCAATTATCGTACCACCGTCTCACCTTCGGCTATTTCATGCCATGTTCCTCTTGCCTGTACCTGTCTCTACAGTACTCGTCTCTGTGGACAACCTGTTCTCTGATTTATTTAATTATGAAATTAACTCAGATTCATTCCTTTGCAATTTCACATAATGTTTTTGCTTTAATGCTATCAGCAAATGACATTGTTTTGTAATTCGTAGCCTTCCCTCTTTCCTCCCTCGAAAAGAACAACAGTTTTTTTTGTTGGGAAAGTCTTACAACAACCGCAAAACTACCCAATAAATAATAAAAAAACAATAAGTCCAACAATAAAAATAAAAAACCAATAGGCCCAATAATAAAAATAAACAACCAATAAACCCAATAAAAAACCACGAAGACAAAGCAACTTTTTGCTGTCAAACAATCATAACCTTCGGTCCGATATACATACACGGCCGCTATCAGTGTTGCTCCAAAGTGGTAGAGACGTTTACGCATTTTTAGATCTTCCGTGTGTCCCCTTCATTTACATTCTGGGTGAGTGGTTTTGTTTTTCGTTGAGACATTACACAATTGCACAATGGACTCGTCGCCTCACCTGAGTATAAACGAGTGGGACGCAAACCCAATCGTAGCAAAAAAGCTTTCGCAATGATTGCCGGTAAGTCCTCAGCTCAGTCATGAAATTGTTAATGAAAGCCGCCGGCGGATTGTTTTCCTGAAATTGTGCGGATTTTCTACGCAGGCAACAAAAGTTCATTAATAGAAAACATATGGGCAGGTCATGGAATCTCCCTGGTGAAACTCTAAACAGGTAAATATTCCCCAGAATCGAAAAACCATCGAACCTTTTCTTCTTTGACGATTAAATGCTGTATCCAATGAAGTGGTGCCATCCATCGTACAGTTTCGCAGTCCTCCTTAAGTTTCAAGTTCAGAAAGTTCAACAATTTAACATTAAAGAAACCTGACTAGCATTGAGTCGAAGGAAAATTTTGGAAGCCTTTGGTGAAAGTATGACTGAGTGGTCCACAAGGAGAAGGATGGGATTTTTGTTGTCAACTACAAATCACTTCAGATTGATAGAAGGCTCATTCAGTCTGCTTTAGGTTGGTAGAAGGCCTATTCAGTCTAAACGACAACTGATGGACGTCTAGTTTCTTCAGATCCAAATTGTAATTGTGCAAGTGTCGAGCAAGAGGCGAGCACGATTCTGGAGAGGAACCACAGAAATCTGTGTAGCACGATCATGGCCAGTTTTGAAGGATGAGCACAGCACTTGCAATACTATCAGATTTCATATGCCAAGCTTTACAAGGCTTCCACCTCGTTTACAAAACCATTCTTGTAATTTTTGATTGACTCCCCATTTCGTTGCCTTATTCTCACATTATTTTGCTGCCCCCTTGAGACTGACCGGCTCGACCACTAGCAAACACTTCTCTTGACGAACGCAAGTATGAATAATTCAGGTTCTTAAAGACGATCCTTCGAACACACTTACCTCAATTTCTTGCAAAACTTCGTACTCTTTTTCAGTGAGAAGACCGGCTTCGACAAGGCTCAGAACTGTTGGGAAACGAAGACGAATCTTTTTTGAAATGTCGCGCCTGAATGGACAACCTTTCAATCGAAAAGAAGGTCAAAGGACCGGCAAAACTCACCACACAAGGGCTGAGGACAGATTAATGTATCTGGCTATTGCAAAGCGCCTTTTTTGACTTTTCTCATCATTTTCACGGACTATCATACTGACCATGGTTAACAAGTCTTCAGGCCATGCCAGACTTTCGAATTGACGCCACCACCTATCAGAAAAAAATGCCTTAGGAAATTATAGTATTTACGTAAGTGGTAAGAGGAGGGGAAAGAGCTTTCCCAAAGTTCTTGAGTTCGCCAAATTAGTTTCCTTGAAGATTGATTATTTCAAGTGTATACATCTACCTTGAGACAACGTTTGAGACGTAGAAGCCGAGCAGGAAGGTCAGGGGGATCAGCCTTGTATACTCGTTGAACATACGACATAGTGCCTCAAATTTACGTCTGAAAGCAAACTTCATAATGCTTGGAAACGTTGGGTCGAAGGACTTAATAATCTTGTCCTAGTCAACCGGAAGTCCGACCATAGGCGTGGCAGGAAAGTTAACAAGGTGCTGAGCTCTACTACGATATCCATTCCTACTTTAGAGTCCAATTTCACTGGATAGATAGTACATCGTTAGAAAGTTCGTGAAGTACTCAAAGTAAGCCTCAAAACAGCGACCTACACCGATAATTTACATCACCAATGAGTTTCTGTCCGATCTGTACGAAAAAATGCTCGAGACAAATACAGCACTTATATAGGCTTCTGCAAGTTACTTTTCCAATCAGAAACGGGTTTGTGGCCACGTTCAGCTGTTGGTAAGGTGAACACCAATTCATCGAGTTATTCCACAATTTTTATAATCCCATCTCTGTGCGCAATTGGTACATGCCTGCCTTTACCACAAAGCGAAGGGCCTGGAAACGTCTTCCAGTGGTAGGAAATTCACATGTGGTCAGGGCTCTCCTGGAGTTAATGAATCTCTAAGACGAAGGATTTCTAAGTAAGACCGTTGTATTTTGCTTTCTCAGAGGAAACGACGATTTCTAATGGCTTTTCTTTTTCTTTGCTGCCTTCTAAAGTACACTTTGTGTATCCCTCTTGTAAAGTTTTATTACCATCGGGTTCATCCCTGCACCTTCATACAGTGAGCCTAAGCAGTATGTATCGCTTCCTGACATATCTACTTGATTCGCCCAGAAAATGCCTTCTTGCTCTATTTACAGTCCGTACATTGAGTTGTTTTACATCTTTTCCTCAAGTTGTTTCCGACAATCATGTGGGATTGACCTAAGAGAGATGAGCGGGGTCAAAAAGTGATCGAATAAAGCATGTACTGGGAATCATTCGAAAATACATATGTCGACAATCAGCGATGTGGTGGGGCAAAAGAGAGGCCCCTCGACCTGCTTCCCATGTTTTTTCTTGGATTCATCTAGGTACGGGGGCCTAATCAGTTATCCTAAAACTTAAAGGGAAACCGCTATGAACTGGAACTAGATGTTGATGACCAAAATCATGGGGATGGGGCGTCACAATGAGATAAATGCAGAACAAATCATTCCAGCTGGAAAAGTGCGTCTTTTGAAGTTGCCGGTGAGCGGGTGAATAAATTGAAAGAACGGAAATAGAGAACAAGAACGAGCCCATTGTGTAGTGGAGAAGAGGCTCACAATGCCTACTCTGCGAAGGGATGGATCAAGTCGACGCTAGATGAGGGAAGGCTTAGATAATCGAGTTTGCTCTTAGAAATCAAGTGTAATGATTTGCTCATTTAAACTGAAGACATTAGTGGTAAGCACAGTTGCTCGATGGCTAAGATGGACATTAATAGCGTTCTATCTAAAACCATTGGGAAGTCCCAGTTGCTTGGTGTCTAGATAATTTCTGGATGATGGGAGTGGGTCATTGACTGTGAAGCGATCTGAGGCCTATAAAACCGGTTTCTAATCTCTACATCCTCACCTCAATCGAATGAAGTTCGGGGATTTTCGGATCGATTCGACCATATAATTCGAAGAAAGGATAGCCTAGGTAGCCTTCTTTTTCCAAAACAGCGTCAGATCCCAAAATTATTTTTAGATTTCCGTCTCAAAGCCTGGAATGCAATTCGCGTTGTTTTCACCAGACATTGTGTAAGATAGTGCCCTTCCACTGGCGGAATGGAACGGTGGCAATGTTGGCCTCTGGTAAAGAAGGAACGGCTGGCATTCCAATGACACGATCAGAGATTTTCTAATAAAAACTAATTTCCGTTAGTTGCTATTCAGCCTTTTTTGCAAGATGTGCAGAATCGAGAATTCCGAAAAGTCGCTGAACTGTGAAATAGATGAAATTAAACGCGTTATCGTATTCGATCAGATCGCTCAATTAGTCAAAAGTCTACCTTGCCTTCTTCTCTCGTTGACCATAAAATGATACCATATCGACAAAAAACTCTCAGACTACTTTTGGTGAACAACCCAACACTACAACTTGATGTTTGCCCCTCAAAGAGATTGGGTGATATGATAGAAAGAAAAAATGAAGAAAGAAAGAGATATTTTAATTCTCGGACCAAGGACCTCGAAATCGTGAAAAACCTCTGGCTTTCCACGTTGCTACACCCAGGTCTACCACATAACACAAAAATGATGCTAGAAGTGCTCTCGGCCTGAGTAGTACATTGTGCCAACGCTCGGTAAATCCGAAAAACAGAGGTAACGGATACAGGAACAAAAGTAGAAGTCCTGAGAAGTCGATCATTCCCGTCTGAGGCGCCTACGCAATCTATACCAGCACCATTTAGATGGGTTCTAACTAAGGTCCTTTCACAATTATTTTCGACCTTACGCACTTTCCTTTTATCCCTCAATAGGCCACTTTTTGCTGAAGTGAATATTTCGTGGAAACCTTATGTGCATTGCAAATGAGGCAGTAGT